GAAGGAAATTAAATTCCTTAACTGGTATAAACAATCTCTTGGACACATGGTTGAAACAGTGGCTTCTGTGATCTTTGCTAAATGGTCATTCAGTGACAAATTGAAAGGCTCTCACTTTGCAATCACACCAAAAGGGTCTAGTTATGACCCCACTATCTTCAATATCAGCAAAGAGGATGAAGCAACATATTTATGTCACATTGGAACAGCATATTCACAGAAGTTCATCACTGGCACTTTCCTAGCTGTGAATGGTAAGATCATGTTTTCTGCCTGTAAAATTCACTGACATGTAATGTATTCTTCATTAACTGTGTTACTTGTGATATTTACCATGCAGATGATAAACAGCAGAAATCTCTCTACTTAAAACAACATCCAAAGACAGAGTTGGTTCGGCAGGGCGAGACAGTAACTCTCCAGTGTTCACTTCTCTCCAAGAATAAGGAAAAGTCCCAGTGCCCAACTAAACCCAGTATGTACTGGTTCAGAACTGAATCAGAACAATTCCATCCAGGCATCATTTATACTCAAAGGAACATCAGCGACAAAGACTTGGCAAGAAGCTGTTCTTACAGTTTATCTGTACGAGACTCCTCTGATGCTGGGATTTACTACAGCGCTGTGGTAGCATGTGGATCAATCGTGATTGGTGAAGGAACCAAAGTGGAGATGAGTATGTGTTTATAATTTTTAGTTTTCATAAATACATTACTTTGGTTTGTATTTCTTTGACCAACCAACTACTCGCTGGCAAGTTCCTTGCCAAATGGAGAGCTCAATTCATGGGGAACTCAATGATGATTTAAATATCATTATCATTTTATTACTTGACAAAAACTCATTACTAACTTGTTATTTAGTGAATTTTGTTTTCTCGCAACAAAATAAAAATCATTGAATGTCACTATTGTTTGACATCTCTTTATGATTTCTTTCCAAAATGTCCAGTAAAAATATAAAAGTGATTGTATAACCTCATATTTGCATTGTTGTTTTATAATAAGTGAAACTTTCAAAAATAATGTTAAACAGTTATGTTTTGAAGATAAGAGTTGTCTGTCATATAATATGCATGTTTGTGAAATTTGGATCGCTTTGCTCTTTTCAAATACATCTTCCCTAGCAACACATATTTTGATTGTGTCTAATCTTTCTGTTTGTTCTTTTTTCCAATCTAGGAAAATATTCAGATCATCTTTTTGTTGGACTTGGAGCACTGTTGGCTGTTTGTGTTTCTGTGATTTTTCTATTAATTTTCAACAACAAAGACAAAACATTTGTCAACACCTCAAAGGTAGGCCTTCAATTTTCTGGGATTGCAATAAAGTGCATAAAATTGAAAATAGTTCAAGATACATAGGAATTAATAAGCTTCTTCTCTCTAGGGAGAACTTAGCGTCCTCTTGTATACTACAAATGCCAATCTAAGTCACTCAAATGAGATGGTAAATAAATTAGATATTACATAATGATGATCATTCTGTATTACATGGCTGAAAAATAACATAATATTCTTTCTCATAGAAAAATGAAATCAAAGAAGCAAAATACACAGAAAAGAGATGGAAATGAAATAAAAATGAAACTCCATCATTTCCTTCACGCCACTGTCACATCAGACGATGTTGACCATCAGCTAACACTCTACAAGCAGTAAACCACAATTTTAATTTGTGCAAAATAAATGTATTGCATTAGTGTCTGTTTCACCTCACACTTACATTTTGTGTTAAAATCTCAAAATAGTTTGGAAATATTTCACCCTTGCTATCCCCACCGTTTACCTTGTATTTGGTGAAAATAATTGTATGATTTCTTCACAATATCAGTGGAAAGTCGACCTTGTAAATAAGTGTCAATGACTAGTTGTCAATTGTCTCATTGGGTTAAACAAATAAATCCTAATAAAATATTTCACACAAAGTGTAATAGAGTGATAAATTGTACTGTGTAAAGGTTTGCCATCCATTCATCAACTTCTGCTCAGCTTATCTTTAATTTAATATCTTCTAACTGTACTTTGACATTTTTTTGCAACAATGGTAGAGTCTTTGAAGAAGGGAGCAAGTTTTGCTTTCACAAGTGATCACTATGAATAGACAAAACTCTCAGATCCATCAATAAACAATTGACTGTGTGCATGAAATGCTTTCCCAGGTAGGGTTGGGACATTTGTAAGTCTGTGCCTGGGTTTAATCCCAACAACAAGCAATATATTTTTCTTGTGATGAAAGCTGGGATACTTTCTACATTGCTAAATAAGACTGATTTATGTTGAAAATCAGTTAATAAAAACCTAACATTAAAGTTTGAAGTCTTTGATTTTACCTACATGAGCAAATCCCCTCCAGAAAGTTGGAAAGATGTTTATGGTCATATCTTCCCTGCGGTTCACTTCACAGCAGCACTGTGAGCATCACAAAGCTGGTTTTTACTGGAACTGTTGAAAAAATAAAACTTGACCATCAATCTGTCAGGTTTGAGAGAGCAGCTATTCATTCAAACATGAGAAAGGAAAATTACATCATAAATGAAAAAAAATACTGTAATGATTTTAATAAACTGACACAATGGTCAAAACCAATTCTAACCGGAGATGTGAATTAACTTCTGACATCTGAGGGAAGGACTGTTCATGAGATTTAAAAACATTTGCATTAGTGGGATTATTCAGGCATGAAGTATGACGTTTTTGAATTTGCAGTATAACTATAAAGTGAGGATAACAAAAGAAGTGTGCAGAGCTACTGAACACAAAGTTCAACCTTCCAACAAACAAAATAATGCTTGACAAATAAATAGAAGTGATGCATGGAAACTTAAGCACCACTGGTTGTGGTTTGGTAAACGCAAGTGTGAAAAAAAAACAATGCTTTGTTTCCTGCCGAACCATTTAGCTGACTTTCAAGTGAGCCTTTACTTTTCTCTTTAAAATATATGCAATTATAAAAATGTTTTGACAAAATCAAACAAAAAACATCAGGAAGAAAAAATTAATCTGATTTTAATTACATAATTTGATAATAATAGGGCTTGTCAAACAGACAGTCTTCCTGTCTGGTTGAAGCTTGCAGAACATCTATTCTCAGCCACCAGCCTCAGCAGTTGGTCAAAGGGAAAAAAAACAGCCTGCAACTGTTTCTATTTACTACTGTCACTTTTGCATGTAGTTTTTCACAATGAACAGCGAACGCTAGAATAAGTTTTTTTCTTTTTATGAAGTTTAAAATAGTTAGACGAACTTCAAAGAAACGGATGGTGTGAATAAAGAGAACGGATGTCAAAGTGTCAGTAGGAATGTCATAAAATGTGTGAAAGGCTAAAAAGTCTTCTTTATGAAGGAGTAATGATTAACACTATCCAGGCAGGTGTTGCAGATTTGCAACAACTTAACCAGTCTTTGCAAGTATTTGAGCCTGAGAGGATTAAACAACAGCTTGAATCTATCTTTTAAAAATAAAAACACAGGATAAAAATACAAACACTTAATTTTATTGTTATTATTATACAGGTGAAAAAATTACAAAACTCTGGTAGACAATGGTGATAGTATAACATTCAACTGCAATGTTTCTGAGAAGGAACTTAAATATATTTACTGGTATAAACAAACTCTTGGACACATGGTTTAAGCAGTGGCTTCTGTGTTACAGTTACAATAGCTTACACTGTCGGAAAAGTAATGATTGAAAAATAGCTTTTGTCCATGCAATATCTGGTATCATTCTGTAAAATCTTCTTTTAACATCTTATTTACTGAGAGCAAAACAAGTCACTCATTGCATTGTTTATCAGTTGCTGACATGCTTTTTCTCTATTATGCCACATATGTTCTTGTGTCGTTTTACATAGATCTGAACAGGAAGAAATAAAGCGTAATTGTAAAATGAAGACAATCACACATGGAGTATGATGCCACTTAAGATGCAAGTCTGCGTTGGGATGAAAGGTGTAAAACATACGCTGTACTACAACATCAAGGTAGAGTAAGTCTGCCCTGATGTTGTAGTGTTATATGTCAATTTATCTTTTTCTTTTTATTAACATTTGCACTGAAATCTTATATGGAATTTTTTGCATAGTTTATGGTTGGCCCCAAGTGGTACAAATAAATATTCGCTGAATATGAAGAGAAGATTCTTTCTGTTTGAGTTACAATAAGGTTAGAGTATCAACACTGATAGAGCCTATCCATTGGATAGTATTAGAATACATTATTATAATGCCTTGTAACATCTGAGTTATATATATTAACACATTTTTATGCATCCTATTCACAATTTAGTGCAGTCAACTGTCAAAAGTTGCTAAATGTTAAGATAGGTTGCTTGGAACTATATTGGGTCCAGAGAGTTACTGGTCCTAAAACAGCTTCCAGTTTACTACATTTAATTTAAATGATTTAAAAACAGCTTAGAGAAAAAATCTCTGCATGTGCAAATCTAAAGTTTGTTTCCAGGACTTTAACATTTGAAAGGCACAGCAATAAAAAAAATGCTTGTGTATGACCACTGTTTGACAGGTAAAGGATCTGACCAGGGCAGGTTTCAGCAGACAGGTGGCAAAAAGCAGATGTTTTTAATATAGCAATAATATAAAAGGAAATGACTTTGGGAGTCTCTATTAACAGCATCAACAACAAATCAGCTGTTATTGAAAGCCTAAAACACTATCATCTTTCCTCATGATGTTTCACAAAATCCGCCACAAATGTTAACAAAGCTATTTAACAATGGGTAAGACATTACAATAATGATCCATTTGATCTCAGAAAACCAAATACACTACACAAAACACTTGTTTTGGTATTATTCTTATCATAAGTAAAAAGTTAAAATAAGGATACTCATTTAAATCCCTTGTTCATTGAAAAGGCCTCACAGATTTAGCAAATGTAGTGGGCTGTGCATCTTCGTACATTTCAGCCAATCACTGTTGTCTGTTTTGGAAACACTTCAACACCACCTAAACTAAGCCTTCCATTTGGTAAGAGGGCATCAAATGTGCGAGAAGAGAAATAGGTGTTCCACAATGATCGCAGGACTGGCTGCAATGATTGTTCTCAGCATGGCACGTAAGAATACTTCTTTTCTAGAAAGAATTGCATCTCCAGACGAAGCAGTAGGTACTTCAAGTATATCGGACTTGAATGTTAAAAACTATTTTTTACTAAAGCCCTCACTGTTATTTTCCACAGCTCTTCTTCATACTGCTAAGGCTTCCCACCCGATCTCTTTAACTCTAGTAGATATCGGTGATAATATAACATTCGAATGCAATGCTTCTGAGAAGGAGCTTAAATTCCTTAACTGGTATAAACAATCTCTTGGACACATGTTTGAAATAGTGGCTTCTGTGATCGTTGCTAAATGGTCATTCAGTGACAAATTTAAAGGCTCTCACTTTGCAATCACACCAAAAGGGTCTAGTTATGACCTCACTATCTTCAATATCAGCAAAGAGGATGAAGCAACATATTTATGTCACATTGGAACAGCATATTCACAGAAGTTCATCAATGGCACTTTCCTAGCCGTGAATGGTAAGATCATGTTTTCTGCCTGTAAAATTCACTGACATGAAATGTCTTTTTCATTAACTGTGTTACCTTTTATATTTACCATGCAGATGATAAACAGCAGAAATCTCTCTACTTAAAACAACATCCAAAGACAGAGTTGGTTCGGCAGGGCGAGACAGTAACTCTCCAGTGTTCACTTCTCTCCAAGAATAAGGAAAAGTCCCAGTGCCCAACTAAACCCAGTATGTACTGGTTCAGAACTGAATCAGAACAATTCCATCCAGGCATCATTTATACTCAAAGGAACATCAGCGACAAAGACTTGGCAAGAAGCTGTTCTTACACTTTATCTGTACGAGACTCCTCTGATGCTGGGATTTACTACAGCACTGTGGTAGCATGTGGATCAATCGTGATTGGTGAAGGAACCAAAGTGGACACAAGTATGTGTTTTGTGTTTCTGGCCACTTTAAACACATCAAAGAATCTAAATATTTTATCAGAGCATTAGTACAAAAGTAATTTAATTTAATCAGTCCCTTTAATTTTTTCATGTGCGTGGAAACTCTATAACCTATTTCTGGAAGTTAAAGTTTATTGTGCTGAGTTACTGTAGCCTTGGCAATAATGTCCGAAATGCAAAAATTCACTGCCAGTACACTTGTGTTAAAAATATATATTTGAAATGTGCCAAACCCTTTTTTTTTTTTTTTTTTTTTTATATATCAAGTTGACAGTCTCGTCGTTACACTTGGAGGACTGTTGGTCTGCTGTGTCATTGTTATAGTCCTCTTAATTCTCTACATTAAATTGAAGCAAAATTGTGGACACGGCAAAGGTGAGTTTTGCAAATTCAATACAAAGTCACTTTCATATAAACCATGAACTGCTTTTAAAAATTGCTTACATTGAAAATGTTAACCACAAACTCATCTTATTTTGTTATACATGTACCATCAGAACAGGATGGATACTTTCGTGTGTAGTCCAGATTCTGACCATGCTCTCTGAAAGTTGAAATTGAGATTATTTCAGGCAAAAGTTGTTTTGCGTCAGGCGAAGCAACATTTTTTCAATATTATTGTCTAATTTTAACGACCCTGTTTGAACTGTAGTTCCAGTTTTCTGTTTCTCAGTTTCCTGGATCCTGACAGAGAATTCTTATGGCTAAAGCGTCTGTGGGATATGTGTTGGGAGGTTTTTTTCAAATATGTTATTTCGCGAACATTTATTGCCTTGAGTAGTTATTTTTTTTCAAACCAATTATTCTCACGTACTTTAGTTTCAGAAGTACTGAGATCAGTCTGACTGATGTCACCTGATATGACATCCTCTAAGTTTCTAAAATCACACATCTTTGAACTTGTTAAAGTAGTCTTCTCCACAACTTGAAGCCTAAATCAATTGAAGCTCTGCCATAAAATTAATGCAAATTATTATTCGTGTTAATGCGCTTTGCAACTAAGTCCGATGATAGTATGTTTTACTTTTTGCATGATATAAAATCCAGTTACATTTGCAAAGCATTGTGTCTCTCTTGCATTTAACCTTCCTCTGGTGTTAGCTTTCTGCTGCCATCTATGGTGTTAGCGGGTCATTTTGGACCCCTATATATTTACTTCAAGAAAAGGCCAAAAACAAGTTGTTTTTTTTTCTCCACACAATATAAAAAACAGAACAGTCATAAATAATAAAAAATTACAATAAAACAAAGATTTTGCAAGGTCAAATAAACAACAACCAATCGAGAAAATCACACCAAAATAAATCAACTACTTGTTCTATAAATACTCTGTGCAAAGAACATGCCTGTGTGTGTGTGTGTGTGTGTGCTACGTGTGTGTGCGTGTGTGTGTGTGCGTTTAGATGCATGTGTTGCAAAAAAGTGACACTTTTAGTGCTTTCTTTGCATGTATATTTGTTGCAGGTGAAGCACACTATGTAGGTTTTTCTGTCCATATTGCTAGGGCAGACCTGACACCTCTTTCTTTTTGAGCGAGGTGGTCTCACTTGCATTGTGTCTGTGGATGGAGTGCTTGAAGCAGGGCTTGTTGCTGAGGCGGAAGGTGATGCTGATGCTCTTCTTATTGCTGTGAATGTGGATGGCGTGCTTGGTGACCACTGCAGCTGTCTGACCGAGTCTGCAGCAGCTGGGTCTCCGGTCACCCGTTCCTGGATGTTGCCACGTTTGTGTTGGAATGATTCAGCTGAAGCAGACACAACTGATCAGTTGTGTCTGTTTCTTCCAATTGGTACTCCACATCATCTTCGTCCTCAGAGGCCTGCTCATCTCCATCGCTAAAATCCTGTGTGTCCTCTGCCTCATTTGCAGCAAAGATGTGATCCAAAGCTTCTTTTACAGTGAATCTTCTCATTGTTGCATTCTGTGAATTGGAGATGTGTACTCTGCAAGTCACCACCTCTACACTCAAATGGCTTGACATGGCTGGACATATCTTCCTTTATTTGTTCTCACAAAAAGGCAAAGAGAAAAGCCCCTAAATGAAGCTCAAGTGGTTGCAGGAAGAGGCTGTTGGTTGATTGTGTGTTTATGATTTCATTTTTGGCATGTTTTTATTGTTTTATAATCAAAAATTTTAACCGGGTCAAAAATGACCCGAACACCACAAAAGTCTTTTTTTGTTCACCAGAGCACTTTATAATTTAGTAAAAAAAAAAAAAAAAAAAAAAAAAAAAAATATAAAATAATATATATATATATATATATATATATATATATATATATATATATATATATTTTTTTTTTATTTTGTTTAAATGGAAGTCCCAGACAAAGTCAAAAAGTTTCAATGCAAAAAAAATGTATGAAGTACTTTTATGCATGCTAAAAAATCTATAAAAACACATATGTTTGCTCTTCAAAGGTCAAAATGGTTCCAGTCTGGTAGAGGATCACAAATCAGAAGATGCTCACACAAGAAACTTGGTAAATATATCCCTGACAAGTCTTTCACAACATGTTCTATGAACATGAAAATAAACTAATTTGTTCCTTCTTTTGCAGGATGGTGAAGCAATAGAAGCAAACTATGCCACAGTGCAAACCCGGGTTAGAAGGACTAATGAGAAAAAAAAAAGTCCACAAGAATGTGTTTACTCCTCTGTCAAATCAGACGGTCAATATAATCAGCTCTCTTCTCTTTAGTCATCACTGTTAACATTTGTTGCATTTCATTTTGATCATATTTAGATAACATAATTTGAAATGCAAAATTATGTTTTTTTTTTCTCCCTTTTTCTTGTTAATTTGTAGTTTCAGTATGTTGACACATAAAAAAACAGCTGTTCTGTATTCCATGGATCACATTAAATAATTTATTTTTGCCTAAATTGACTAAATTGCACAGAATTTTAAATTATGTTGAAAAATCTGTAACAAAGTAAAAGCTGAATAAATTATTGCAACAGATTTGTGGAGTAAAAAAATATTTCAAACAAATGTCTTTCATAAAGATGGAATAAACTTACCTCAATAATTAAGTTTTGAGTTTTCTTCTAAATACTGATCCCAATTGATTGTTGTTCCCGAAGAACATCACTGCTATCTATAATGCCAGTAATCCTTCTACTACTATTATTATGTACTATAGTGTCATGATAGTGCAGGAATATTGATTGTGATGAAAGGCCAAACATTGAGTGCTATATTCATAACATATTCACAAATTATTCAAAGATCGATTTGAAGATTTCCAAATTTGTTTTGGTTGCAAAACAAATTGCAAATGGCAAAAAGTAAGAAATACTGGAAGTCAGACACATGAAATCTTCTTTATGCTTTCTTAACATGAGCAACCAGGCTGCTGAACTAAATGTCAGCGGAGGTGCTGCAAGACCAAATTTATGAACAGACCTTGCCCGTCCGTCGTCCGTCCGTCCGTCCTTCCGTCCGTCCGTCCGTCCATCCATCCATCCATCCATCCATCCATCCATCCATCCATCCATCCATCCATCCATCCATCCATCCATCCATCCATCCATCCATCCATCCATCCATCCATCCATCCATCCATCCATTTATTTTCTGTACACCTTTGTCCCTAGTGGGTTTGGGAGGGGTGTTATCTCCAGTGAACGTTTCATGTGAGAGGCGTGGTAGACCCTGGACAGATTGCCAGTCTGTCGCAGCTGACCTCTACCATGAATTTATAAACTGTTTAACCTATATTACTGTCAGAAATACAAAACAAGTTTCAGGCCATCAGTACAAGAGGAAACAGTTTGGGGGAGGTAGTTTCTAAAATGAAATGCAACATGTACCTTTAAAACCAGAATGAAAAATGATTTGACCAGAGGAGAAGCTTATCTTTCATCAGGACAAGGATCAGAATGATAAAGCTACAATGGGAGTGTTTGGATCTAAACATGTGTTTAGAATGGCATAGGCCTAAAGCAACACAGCATTTTTGGCAAGACTTTAAAATGGTTGTTACAGTTCATTGTGACTGAGTCTACGCTACAGAACTGGAAAAATGTGAAGCTGGTAGACACATGGCCTAAACACTGCTGGGGCACCGGATAGTTGCTTTAAGAACCATTGCATCATTTTTACTTTGACATCACAATTATGCATTACATTCTTCTGGTTTGCCACCAAAGAATACTAAAGTTTAAAGAGGTATGAACATATTTATCTTTCTTATTTTCTCTAAATTCTTTGGCCATGGAGAAGAACTAAAAGCAAATGCAATATATTCATATAAAGATCTGTTTTTACTCTATTTACACTTACCAAAAATTATTTATTCCCCAAAAATTTGTGCTTCAATTTCAATTCACTGATGATAAAGAAAAAAACATCACCCCATATTATTAAATTTTATTGCGGTAAAAAAGAAAGACTAATATTTATACATTTTATGAAAGTGGGTTGTTACTAAAGAAACAAAAAAGTGCAGAAAAACAGAAAAACATGAAGCCACACTATTTTTGTAAACATATTTTGGGCAGATGAACATCAATCACTTTAACTTTTAACACAAGCCAAAAAGGATACACAGTTTTTAAATGAAATACAGTAAAATTTAATACACATGAAAAGATCTTTGACCTGGTGAAAGTATTTATTAAGCTAATATACTGTGCTAAATGCAAGAGACTGAAAAGTTTTTTGTGTCATGCCAAGCAAAAACAATAAAAAACATAAATACATAGTCTCAAAAGATCCTTGAATGCAGTGGTTTAGGATTTTATTCTTTATCAAAGATCCTGACATCACTGTAGATGGTACCTTCTTTTCTTCTTGCCTTAACCCTGCCCACTCGATCATCGTTTCTCTCGGTAAAAACTGCTGTAGAATAAACTACAGCATTTTCACTTCTCTGGGGAAATAAAATAAATGGGCAGATATTAATGTTCTTATATATGCAATACACATTATTTAGCTGATATATTTTTAACAACATAAAATTTCTCACCTGCTGATTTTGCAATTTCCTACAAACTACTTCAGCATTTTTGTCTTGAAACTCAGGACCTGTTAATTATTACAACAGGTTAAATAGAGTTTAATTTTATGTTTAAAGGAATCCACTTTTACAGAAAAATAATCTACGTATTACTCTTACCTTTGGAAAAGTGACATTTTTTTCTAATCAAATACACGAGCAGGGCTGTAACAATCAGCATCAAAACCAATATTCCACATATCAGAAGGAGGAGAGTGTTGTTCCTCTGTGAATTATTTATGCTGACATCTAAAACATAAAAAAAATAAAAAGTCATGATAGAAGAATCAAAATATGACAATATTGTGACTGTAATGCACAAAACATGTTGGAATTACCTTTCATCTCCAGTTTTGTGCCATTTCCAAAAACTACCATCCCACATGCAGCCAGAGCACAGTAATAGGTTCCAGTGTCGGAGGAGCTGATGTTGCTTTTCAAAAAGTTAAAGACACAATTCTGTCCTGATGGAGATTCAGGATTTTCTTCACATTTACCATTACCCTCATTTTGAGCATAAATTAAGCTGAGATGTGATTGTGGTGGAGAGACTCGGAACCAGAACACCTTGCGTTCCTCGGGACATGTTTTTTTTTCTAACTGAGAGAAAACTGAACAATGCAGACTCACAGAATCCCCTTCATGAACTGCATCAGATAAAACATCTTGAGTGACAGCAGTAACGTCAGGTTCTGATTCTAGAGAAGAAAAGAGATCAAATAAAACATTTTTGAAATGATATACAGAGGACAGGAAAAATGACTAATATAGACATTGGACAGATCTAGAAATATTTCCAATGAAAATATTGAATTAATGATTTTTTTTCCTGATATGTTAACCTGTTGACATTGATGAAACACTTGTATTTAAAACCTTTGTAATTTGGTTGAAACGTTTCACAAAACCCGTTACCTTTTACTCTGAGAAATGTTCCATTTAAGAAAGTGAGGTTGTGTCGTTGCGTCCTCAAGCAAAAATAAAATGCTGTGTCACTTAGGCTTGTTTTTGCGAAATGTAGAACAAAACTCCCAGGTTCTTGTTTTGTTGAAATGGGAGAATATGTGTTTTAATCAGGGTGATCAAAAGTAAATGTTGAGCCTAATATATCAGGCATTTTTCCAGGAATGACTCTTATCCAAAAGAGGGATCCAACCATCACAGATGAATGTCGTTTGCAAGTTAGAGTCACATTTTCTCCAACAGCAACAGTTGTTACCACAAAGTTCTCACCATCTGCACATTAAGAAAACATATTTACACAAAATAGTGATCAATAAACCCAATGAGTTATTATACATCTTTTACTAAGTAAATAAAATACTACATTTTCTGACCTGTCGCCACATACTTACATTCAACTTGGAGCATCAGCAGGATGAAAAAGACAACACGCATATTGAGGGTGTTTATCAACTCAATGCTGCAGTTAATTTGGTTTACTGTATAAGACAAATTCTTAATTTGGTAATATAAAATGGGAGGGAACAATTTCTTAGACATCTGATTGGCCTATTCAAATGTTGCGTAGCTACCAGTGGAAAGAGCGTGACCAAAACTTTCCAGCTTAAACATGAGACAACACCAGCAGATAGCTTTGTCATCTGGTGTAGGTGAGTTTTGAAATTTGTGAAAAGTTAAAAGAAGTTTGAAGCCAACAAAAGCAATAATTCTGATATTACACATAAATCTGTAAGAAATAAATTTAATTAAGAATTCTAAAAGCAAAACAAGGCAAAAAACTCGAATCAAAAATAGAATAATAACTTGACATGGTTTCAGAATTGCCAAAAGACATCAGCAGGTTTACTAAATAGCTAAAAACATCATGGTGTTTTAATAAGTTCAAAGTACTGTGAGGAGAAGTAAAAGTTTTACTAGAAAACAAAATGTAGTTTGTAATATATTCTTAGGCGTCTTTTGAAAACCCCAGACCTTTTGATTTGGTAAAGGTGATATTGCTTTTATAAATTTTACATGGCAGAAGGTTTGATACAATGAGCACACCTTTAAAACAGCACAGCTGAAATCCAAATGAAATTAATGAACCAATATTAAAAAGCCTGTATTCTTAAAATCACTATGTAAAATTTTTGCAAAACTTTTCATATGAACTAATTGTAGAACAAACCTGAGTGCGTGTGCACAGGTTTGCACATGCACTTACATGTCCAATTATCTGATTGGATGGAAGAAAAATCCAAAATCAGTGCCAGTCATTAAATAATCTATACCACTGCACTGATTTAGTTTGTCGACATTAAATTTATTATCAGTGCATTAAATTACTCTACATGTCCTAACCACGAGTTGTTAAAGTGCAAAGGAGTAGTCTGAAAGAAGTGCTTTCATAAATGGGACATTATTTATTACATACCAATCTAAGCACTTAGTAATTAATATTAGCTTAGATTGATAAACAGAGTTTAAATATATATTTAATAAATGCTTGTATGTAAAGACATAATTTTAATCTGCTTTGGACTTATTTCAAATGCAATAGACTAGAAGATGGAAAAGATGAAGAGAAAGGAAGAGAGGAAGATGACAGAGAGGATACAAGAAAATACACTGGATGTCACCGATGGAGAGGAAAAAACCATTGGAACTTGAAGCAGACATGGAGGAAATCAGAGGCTCAAACATCCAGAGGCCCCTACGAGCCACAGGATGACCACCACAGGAACGACCACGTCCCTGTGCCAGAGAAGAGCAGAGGAGAGGCCTGCAGGAACCACCCAGCATCCACAGTGTAGAAAACTGGAGATTTGCATGAAACAAAGATACTTAGAGGGTGAAATCATGGCACAGTGATGTGACAAAACGT